TAACAAGTGTTAAAATTGCATTGATATGACCTAGTTAACTTGGCAGGTTCAAAAGCAACACAAATAATCGGTAAAAAATATAGTATAATTTTATAAAAAAAAATTAAGATGATATCTTTTTTATTTTAACATTGAGAAGACAATTTATTGGATCGAACCCAGGCTTCGCGACTTAATTCGCTTAACATATGACCCTGATTATGGACTCTACTAAATTTAACAAAAAAAACATTTTTTTACTTAATGATATAATAAAAAAAATAAACATTTTTAAAATTAAGCATCAATTAAATACCAGAATATATGAGTTTCTTCTACATGATTTTAAGATTAACCAAAAATTAACCTGTTAAAGTTTCTTCGACATGACTTAGTCAACTCGGAGACTCCAAAAACAACCCAGATGAATAGTAAAAAGCATGGTTTGACTTTAAAAAAGTTTTCAAAATGATATCTTTTTAGTATTGAAGCATTAACATATTAAATTGACTTAGATTTTGTGGCTTAACTTATCGAATCTGCAATCCAAATCATGGACTCCACTGGGTTGAACAACATTTTTTTTTTTCTTTTTAACTACTCTTTACTTAATGATCTGAGTATTGAAGCAGTAACACATTTGATTGACTTAAATTTTATGGCTTAACCTACCAAATCCGCAATCTAAATCATGGACTCTACTGGGTCGAACAACATTTTTTTTTCTTTTTTAACTACTCTTTACTTAATGATATGATAATAAAAATAGATGCTCATAAAATTAAGCACTAACCAAATATTAGGATATTTGTTTAAGACTGTGATAACCTCATAGAAAATAAAACATAAAAAATTATGAAGACCAATTCACAATCAATGTAATATTAAAAAATAAAATTAAAATAGAAAAGTTAGAGGGATTCGATAGCAATAAAAATGAATTGAACCACGTGGGGTTTATCCTAGACCTTTTAATTGAGTAGATAACTCGAGGTACGTGAGAGTGTCCTAATCTTCTCAAACTAGTCAGAGGAATTGAACTAGGACTAAGATTGAGGAACCAAGTTTGCTACTTAGGAACTAAAAATTTGGGTATAAGGTTCTAACTTACAATAAGATATGGGTCAATGAGGGTCTTCCTAGTACTAGGATTTGAGTTCTATGATTTTAACCTAGAATATCAAAAAGTATTATAATATATCTCAAGATTAGACTCGATGTCTTATAAATCTGATTATAACCACAATCTAGGGCACCCAAAGTTAAAGTCAATAATGAATTCAAGAAACTTGGGATTTGGTAAGGACTAGGTTTTAAGACATGAAGAGTGGTCTAAAATCGAGATTTGAGCATTGATGTTTGATTTATCACTAGGTTTGAAGCACTCGAGTTTATAGAATAGGATCAAGTTCAAGGTGTTAAATATCAATCTAGATTTGACTGAATTGTCATGGGTATGCATCTTAATAATGGATCCAAAGTATTAAGGATTCAACCTGGGATTACACTCATTAGTTTCCAATAGGACAACTTCAAGGCTCATATTGTTAAACCCTATAACCACTTCTAAACCACTTAAGGCCACGCTAATGCTTGCGACGGGTTATGGATGCTATAATTCATTTTTAAAACATGGTTAATGAACACATTTGAAACTGAATTAAATAAGGGATTCACTCACTATTTGGATTAAGATTTTATTAAAAAATATTTTCTAACAAAAGTACTTTAACATGGAGTATTCATATGTTTAAAACAATTTATGGGTAAATGAAAAATTGATCTCAAATAATTCTTAGTTAATATATTTTACATGCTCAAACCTTTTAATCCCATATTAAAATAAAACATGATTTTCTTTTAGATTGCACAATAGAAAGTTAAAAGAGTTAAAATTAAACATGTAGAGTACCAAAGCTTTGAGAGAAGATAGGCCCTCTCTTAAGTGGGTTTTCAGCTTAAGCCACACACACTCACTTTGCTCGACTTAGCATGGACGCGGGCATAGGCATATGCTTAGGTTTTCTATAAAAGAGTTGAAGTTGGATTTGTAGAGCACCAAGATTTTAGAGGGGAGAGACCTTAGGCTAAATGAGATTTTGGCTTAATCCATACATGCTCGCTTATTCGGTAGGGCATAGACTCGAGCTTGGACATATGCTAAGGTTTAGATTTTTTATACACTACATCAATAAATTATTTGAAGAATAAATTCAAAGGGAAAACATTTGATTTTTATTAAGACAAATTATAAAGTTTTTTTTAGCAGGTAATTAAGGAAAAGCAACAATAATTAATTTAAGTAATTATTAAAATTAATTATTAATCAATTTCAATTATATAAAAATTAATATAAAAAAGAGTTGAACGAGAGATGTTCTGCACACCAAGTAATAACTCTTATGCCCTCTTCTCCTTGGTTTTTTTTTTTTCATTCTTTTTATTTTGTATTAAACTAGTGTTTAGAATTTCAATCAACTACAAGTAATCTATATTTAGATTGTTCTATACTTTGCCAAGTTTACAAAACTTATAGAATCAAAGTTATTTTTCCTTTTATATTCATGTTCATGCAAATTACATTTATCTAAACCAAACATTGTGATTAAAAAAAAAACCCACAATGGAATTGTGCGGTTCGATGATCATGAGAAGAGACTACCCATACATGCTCTGATAATATGAGCATCAATTATGTTAACTCAAGACAAAACAAGGAAATTAACATTGATTCGGAGCTGTGAATGATTGTTTACAAATGTTTTTGAGGACTGACAAGACTGTTTTATTTTCGATGTAAGAAAACAATAAAAAGTGATTAATCAACGGTCAATCTTGCAAATCCCACTAACTTCGCTACAAAGCAAAATCTTGGCGATCGGTGGTGGCTTGCTCAATGCTCATGACAATCTTTGTCGAATTTGAGAAGCTCAAAAGGTAACGAAAAAAGCAAGGAATGAAGCGAAATATTTGCCAATTAAAGGCAGGAAAACTCCAAAGGCTCCAATTATATGTTATGTCCACTTCATGTGATTAGTATAAAACCATGCATTTATCCCTTTGTGCCGCGAAGGTCCAACCATTAATCAATCATTGTAGCTATTTTCAAATTAATTGGAAAAAAAGTAGGATTTCTTTTCTTTTCCCTTTTGGAGAAAAATAAATCTTTGTTTAGCCTTATTATATTTGTATTTTAATTTTTTTTATTATGATTTCTAAAAATATTAGGGTTTAATAAAAAAAATCACACTTTCACTCTTTATATAAATAGTTACGCAACTTTTTTTTCTTAAAACCCTTTTTTCTTTCAATCGAGTTTTTCTTGGGTCTAATTAGATAGAATTAGGCTTGAAATTATGGTATATACATCAAATTAAAAGACAAAAAATTGAAATGTTAAATATTAAGAAAAAAGATGTCAAATCATACATCATCAAAAAAATTTATTCAAAAAATTTTTTTTGATCCAAAAGTTTATTTTTTCATTTCTCAGTCCTTAGTTTTGAGAGAGGAAAGAGAAAGTTGGGTGAAAACAAAGAGAAGATAAAAAAATTATTGGTTGGACCTTTTTCGATAAAGAAACTCATTATTTTTAGTGTTAATAAGCTCTATTCGATGATAAAAGTTTGATGGTGGTGATTTTTTCTCTAACAATCCTAAAAAAGGAGATCAAGCTTAATCTAGAGATTTTTCATTTGATTGATTTTTTAGGGTTATTATGTGGATTGAAAAGTTTTTTTTTTGTTCTAGATGTTTTAAAGGTGTTTTTAAGATGTAAATGACTTGAAAAATAGATTTTTTTTTTTTATCAAAAACACCTTTCCACTTGTTTGTTTAGTAACACAGTGGTGGTCGGAATCTAGATCAATGACTCAGCATCCAACACATTATTTATTACTTTTTGTAAAAAATAAAAATTAAAAGTCGGTCCACCTTAGGAGAAAAAAGTATGGTCTAAGTGCAGGGGTCTACCTCAATCCCAAGTGTCTAGGATTTTTCATGGCTTAGGCACTCCGAGCCATCCAGACCTATTTTTTTTTAATTATTATTTAATATTTAATTGATTTTAAATTAATATGCATATTTTATTATTATTTATTTAAATAAAAAATAGTGAAGTCTATAACTCATGTCATAGTTTTAAAGAATTATTCATAATTGATCTGGGTTAATATAATATATCTTATCTTAATATTTTAAAAAAATTATCATATTGAGATTTTTTTTGTAAAGTCAAATCATGACTTTACAAATAATCCTGGCTATCTTTGGACTCCTGTGCTTAAATTATTATTTTTTATGTTTTTGGTTATTTTTTCTTTTGATGTATTTTTTTTTCTATCTTTGCACATGAAATTAACTAAGTCGTGTTAATATAATTTTCACATAATTTAATTTAAATCTCAAATTAGATAAGAAATGAAATTAAAAAAAATTCAAGTTTAATATGCAAAACTTAGTTTAACAAGAATGTCAAAATAATTCCACATCACTTCAATATTTTATTTATATTCTATAAATTAAGCTTTAATTGGCAGCTTAGCACTCTAGTTATCTAGTTAGGGCATATTTGATTATTTTAAAAAAAAAATTAATATATTAAAATAATATTTTTTTTAATTTTTTTTTTAACATTAACACATCAAAATAATATAAAATTACTAAAAACTTATTAATTTAGAAAAATAAAAATTAAATTAATTTTTTCTCAAAAGCATACAGGCCCAGTCTTCTATTTCTCCTGTGGACCCCTAATGTTTTACCCGGCTCGATCTTAAACAACCATGTTCAAACTAATGTTATTATAAAAGATTTTTTTTTTTTTTAAATCATACTCGCATAAAGAATAAATGGGCACCTCGAGCATTACAAATTTATTAGAAGTCTGGTTGATAATGCTGTCCAAGTAAAGTCAACTGCACAGTTTGATGGTATTCATGAATTACTGTTCACAACTTCAACCTGCTTCAAGGCGCAGTCTAAGTTTGAAACTTGCAGTTAGAATGGAACCACAAAGACTACAGAAAACAAACTTTCTCTCTCCCCACTTATTCACGAAACCAATGGCTTTTCTTTTATGCAGTTTCCAAGAGCCTGTCCTCTAGTGGTTTTTGTAATTCCATTTTATGCAGATCTTGTTGACAGACATGTGAAGGGCAATGGCTTTTCTTCTGGGTCCAATGGGTGCATGTGGCTCTATATATATCGCCCCTTTTAACTCGGTAGTTACGTCCTTTCCTCCCTAGCAAGGCTAGTTTTTATACTTCTACCATATAAACCAATATATAGTGTGCCCCAATCATTTCTCGAAAACACCAACAACCCATCATAAAGAATTCTCCCCATCCACAAATTGTTGTATTTTTAAATGGAACTTCTGATAATACAGACATTCATGCCTTGATTCTTGAAAGAATTGCCTTCCAAGTCTTTTTTGAGTCAAGTAGTTGGCTCAGTTAAAAGTTTTCAGTTAAAATATTGTTCTTTTAATTTCCTGTGAAGTGCTTTTATTACCTGTGGTTATAGAGAGGAGGGTCCCTTTGCTAGTAGGGTCTTTGCATTTTGTATATAGTTTGAAGGCCTATATATATGTGTGTGCATTCCTCCAGGCAAGCTCAAATTAGAGCATTTCGATAACATTAGCAGCTCTTTCCGAGGTGGGCTTGGAGCTGTTTTTCTTCCTTGGAAGCATCAATGGCTGTTCTCTTAATGGTTCTTGTGGCGGTTCTCTTTTTGTTCTGTATCTCCTCTGCTTTGTTGAGGTGGAACGAGGTGAGATATAGGAAGAAAGGGTTGCCTCCAGGTACTATGGGATGGCCAGTCTTTGGAGAGACCACTGAGTTTCTAAAGCAAGGTCCAAACTTCATGAAGAATCAGAGAGCAAGGTGATGGTTTGCATGAATCTTAATTCATTATGTTGATGATGTTATTGTGTGTTTTTTCTCTGCTTGTGTTCTAGCCAGTATTATTTCTGATGCATGCTCGCAGATTGGAAGGAGTTGTGTTCCTAGCTCTTGTTCATTCGGTGTGTCAACTGTTGATATATTACTTTCAACTGAATTCTTGGTTTAAGCTTTTCACCTCATTTATTTGTATCCCTGCTTATTTTTCTTGTTTATGGTTAGCTGACAATTGCTTCTAAAGTCATCTTTCTTTTTTTCTCTTTCCATTTCAATCAAAAACAAAAGAAAAAGGACTTGTACCTTCTTTTTCCTTTTGGGTGAGGATTGGTCCCTGCTAACCCACAAAAGATACCCATACAGCTAAGGCCAATCTCTTAATGAAGTTATGGCTGTTAGTTAGAACAGTTGTGTTTGGGTTTTCTTGTAAATTTAACTCAAACGTAACATTCTTGATAAATGGATATATCAGCAGGTAACCTTTGTGTCTCTTTAAAATTGCAGGCATGGGAGTATCTTCAAATCCCACATTCTGGGGTGTCCTACCATTGTGTCCATGGATCCAGAGCTCAATCGATACATCCTAATGAACGAGGGAAAGGGCCTTGTTCCTGGTTACCCTCAGTCCATGCTGGATATCTTAGGCAATCGCAACATTGCAGCAGTTCATGGCTCCACTCACAAGTACATGAGAGGGGCATTATTATCCCTCATTAGCCCCACCATGATCAGAGAAAAACTTTTGCCAACAATTGATGAGTTCATGAGAACCCACCTCAGCTACTGGGATACCAAAATTATTGACATTCAACAAATGACCAAGGAGGTACCTACCATCATGCCATACATCAGAATTTAATGAAGCCCTTCAACTTAGGTTTCACTGGATTAATAATAATGTACATTCTGTACCATTATTTTATGCAGATGGCACTTCTCTCTGCACTTAAGCAAATTGCTGGCACTGATTCTTGCTCAATATCTCAAGCATTCATGCCTGAGTTTTTCAGGCTGGTTTTAGGCACTTTGTCGTTGCCAATTGACCTTCCTGGCACAAATTATCGACAAGGAGTCCAGGTAATTGATTTTCTAAAAACATCTAACATTTCTATGTCTAGTTTTTAGTCAAGTCTTTCTCATCACTGTGTCTTTTTCACTATGTCATGCAGGCAAGAAAAAATATTGTAAGCATGTTGAGGCAGCTAATAGATGGGAGGAGGGCATCGAAATTATACCACCAGGACATGCTCGGTCGACTTATGAGAACTGAGGAAAATAAATTTAAACTAACAGATGAAGAGATAATTGATCAAATAATCACAATTTTGTACTCTGGCTACGAAACGGTTTCGACTACATCAATGATGGCAGTCAAGTATCTGCATGATCACCCAAGAGTTCTTCACGAGCTAAGAGTAAGTCTAGACAATAAACAAAATGATGAGACACTAAACGGTTTTCAAGTGTTTGTACATTTTTTGTAACATTCCTGTGTTCTTGACTGAATGCTTCATCTCTGTGTAGAAAGAGCATTTGGCAATTAGAGAAAAGAAAAGGCCTGAAGATCCAATCGATTTAAATGACCTTAAATCGATGCGTTTTACTCGTGCCGTGAGTGAAAAATTTTACTTCTCGATTATCTACTGCCTTTATTTTGCTGATAAGTTGCTGAGGTTAATTTGATCATTTCTCTGTTTCATCTCATGCAGGTGATTTTTGAGACCTCAAGATTGGCTACAATAGTAAATGGGGTTTTGAGGAAGACTACTAAAGAAATGGAACTAAATAGTGAGTGTTATTTATTTTATTTTTACTTTTTTACATAGAATAATGTTTCCTTCCATTATAAGTTTGATCTCGAGTTCGAGTCCAACCCAGACAGAATCTTGCAGTACTAGTCTTGTGCAATACTATAATTTAGGATACCCTGAAGAACCCAAAAAAGAAAAAAGTAAACTCTATTGTTTTTAAGGGCTCAAGAAGCTGTTTTGCAGCTAGCAGCAGCTATGCTTTTAGATCTTTGTTAATAAAAAAGATAATCATGAGCATAATAAGATCATCTCCCTTTGTGGGCCTTACAACTCCTATGATTTACATGGAATACCTACCAATCCAGCTAGGCCATTCTCTTTGCGACCCAAGATCATGTTTAAATTATTTTTGACAAGAAAGGGAGCTTTTTGTCGAAAGGAATTCTTTTGTATAGTAAAATATGTGAAACTAAATCAATCTTTAACTGATGGGTTTGGTTTTTTTTTCTTTTTCTTTTCTTTATGCTGGTGGGCTTGCTTTAGTGTTCATCAAGAAAGAAACATTAGGTTCTAAAATTGCTATTTGCTTATCATGCTTAATGTGGATGATTTAAGGCTAATAACAGCTTTACTCTTTCTATTGTTTTCAGGATTTGTGATTCCAAAAGGATGGAGAATCTACGTTTACACAAGGGAGATAAACTATGATCCATATTTATATCCTGACCCATTCTCCTTTAACCCATGGAGATGGCTGGTGAGTGAATATTAATTTTTTTTTTTGTTTATTTTTCCTTCCTGGACCTGTTTCTGAAACTAAAAGAAGAATCAACAATTTCCTTAAAGGAACTAAACTAATCTGTGTTTGGTAAATGCAGGACAAAAGTTTGGAGTCTCAAAACTATCTGTTCATTTTTGGAGGAGGTACCAGGCAGTGTCCAGGAAAAGAGCTAGGGATAGCTGAGATTTCAACTTTCCTTCATTATTTTGTAACTAGATACAGGTAATTGCAGAAACCCACAAATAAAAATCTATCCTTGAGCAAAAAAACTGATCTTAATTTGCTGATCTTGCTGCCCTGTTGCTTACCTGCAGATGGGAAGAGGTTGGAGGAGACTCATTAATGAAATTTCCTAGAGTTGAAGCACCAAATGGGCTGCACATTAGGGTCTCATCTCACTAACTAATAATAACCTATGCATGTACAGAAGAGAGAGAGATATAGCATATCAGAACTGATAATGATGTTCTAACATGTTAGAAAGTGAATGACATCGAGCTAGTTTTTCCATTTCCTTTTCCTTTTTCTCCCCTCCCGTCTTCAATCATGTAATGGGATACAAATCATAGAGGTAATCAAGCCATGCCACCATGTTTTCTCAAGAAATAAACAAAAACACATTGCCGCCAAATGACATCACCCAACTATAAAGTTTGTTGATTCTAAGAAATAAATGGAAGAACACAAGTATATTATTGTGCAGTTAAAATGAGGTAATAAGCTTTTTACAGATGAAATAGTTTTGTGATCAAAGCAGATCGAAGAACGATTTTTCAGATAACATAGTATCTAGCGATTATGGGCTAAAACGATCAAAATTCTAGGGATGCTTGATGGGCTTAGGAAACATCATGAGCTGATTAAGCATGTTGATACCGCTGGGAGCTTTTCCTATTTGCTTAACAGATGAATTAAAATCTTTCTAGTGCTGAAATGATTGTTTTCTTGTATAAAGATGGAATAAGAATTAATGTTCCAAGTCTTTATTGGACAAAGAGTAGGTCTAAAAAGTAGTATTTAAAAGAGGTATTCACTGTAGTTCTTTTACCTGCCACCTTGATGATGAAAGCTAGTGTTAAGAAAGGAGAAATGAAGAAAAAGGTGGACAACTAGATGGGTCTCGACCCTCTTTTATGGGGGCAGAAGCCCAAAAGACCGGAGAATGGAAGTAAAAAAAAGTGAAAAACTAGCACCATTAATGTTCGAATCTTGAACATCTAGTCCATGAAATATAATGACAGCTTCCCATATGTTCTTGCCCAAAGAGATGGAAGCTCTTGCAACTTCTCATATGTGCATGTTGATCTTTTCTCACAAATCTTCTCTTCCCTAATGTTAGTAAAATTCAATCCTCAGATCATATTTGATATGGTTTTAGATGGCACTAATGATTGTTTAAGTTCTAAACCAGAAGGTAAACCAGAGGATTTGGTTAAAATATATTCAAACAAATTAATGCATATCAATTAAGTCATTAACATATTCAACACAATTCAAAAATAAATAACATGTTAAATTTTATTGGAGATAAATAATAAATTGTGTTAAGGGTTCAAAAATGATGATCGGAAACTGCCGGATTTTGTCCAAACACTGGTGGAAATGGACAGTGTCGGTGCTTGACAGCATTGCCACGATTATGGTGCGTGGGTATTTGCACTGGCTAGAGAGATGGCTAGCTGGATCAGGTGCTATGCTCTCTCCTCTTCGCTTCCACATTGGCAATGCAATCCACAACCATTTGAGAGGGGACGTCAAGCCATGAAATTGTTTGCCTAGCTTTCCTCACTCTCCACTGTGTTCTCTCTCTCTCATTTTTTTTCAGGTGCTACTGCGGCTTTTATTGTTTAGGCTGCTTCCAGGATCACGGAGGGAGAGTTTATATTATTTTTTTTATTAAATAAAAATATTATATATTATAAAATCAAATATCTTAATTTAAAATCTGATGAATATAATTTAATTGGTGATATTCTAGATTTATTAGTTAAAAATTATTAGTTTGAGTTTTATAAACTTTAGTACTATTAAAAACTTATATAATTATTAATTTCAAAATTTATAAAATTAATTATAGTACGTGCAAACTAATATAAATATTTATATTAATAAAAAAATATCTTAATTTATATATATGTCTCTTAATTTTCAGATTTTATTTTTAGGTATTGTTAATAATTTATTTATTTATTTAGTTATTATAACACATAGTTCTTAGTTTATTTAATTATATATGTATATAACCTTTTTTATTTGCATTTAATCTTTTTGAATTATAAAAATATATTAAAAAAAACTTATATATACAAATTCTTTTATTAAAAATAAAAATATCTAACTTATAAAAATTTACAAGAACGGGTCACATGACTATCATGTATCAAAATGGTGTGGCACATGTCACTTTCATACGTAAATGCATTTAGAATTATAAAACTACTGTCGTAATGATCATATAAAGAAATTAAATTAAATTTTAATCCTGCAAATTAAGAAGAAAAGATATCAGTTTCTGCTTCTAAAAAAAGCTTTTTAAAAAAAAATAAAAAAACCCTTCAAGTCAGATTAATGATCGTAACAACACCTTTCGGCTTTTTTTTCACTCTCGCCTCAATTCTATGCATTAGGCAAGATAATTAATGAAACTTCTCCTCTTAATTACAATGAATTCTCACAATGTGAAAGTAAAATAAATAAATATAATGCGAATTTAATTGGATAGATATAAAGACCATATTTATATGTTTGATTGTGTATTTATAAATTAAATTTAAATCCTCTTGTTTGATTGTTGTAAAGTGAATTCCACGGGGAATCATTCTTAAAAAAAAGGAAATTTCTTTTTTATGTTTGATTGTATATTTATATCATGAAAAATGAAAGAAAAATTATTACCATATTTGACCATCTCATAAAAAAATAGTATTTTTTTAATATAGTTATTGACTTTTTTAAAATAATACCATTCAACATCTTCTCATGTTCGGTACACATTGAAAACAACATTTTTTCCCACGGTATCCTATTATTATAATAAAATTTATATAACATAATATGTATATATGATTATTGTATAATATAACTTTTTATTCAACATAATGTATTTTCTAGCATATATGTAGTTTAAAATTAGCATCTATAAAGACAAATCATAATCAATGATTAGTATATTATATTAATATAAGTTCTGATATAAACCCTAACATCTTATTCTCTAATATTTACATGTATACATAAATATTAATAATGTACTCTTTTCCAATAACATTATATTTTCTTATTAATATATATACATAATCATGAAATGGTGGACCGCTCAAGCTCTTAAAACATTCGTAAAAGGTATTCCATTCTGTTAAATGTAGAACCTCTCTTATATTTCTTAGAACTTAACTCGGTTTAGTTTTCCTTCACCTGAAAATGGAATTGCTCTTGTTCTAAAGTAGACATGAAATATGAAAATAATCTAAAGGAAAGGGAGATGAAGCCAATAATTAGCACCATCAAACGCGTAAATTAAACTTTGCTAATGATGAAAGCAACAAGGAGAGGAACCCCGAGTTTCCATACACATGCAACGCTGTTCATCTTTCTAGGGCCACATAATATCCTCCTCCTCCTCCTCCGGCATTCACTCCTTATCAAAAGCGGCAGTGCTTTAAATTTCCCTGTCGGTGCCTGCATGCCTCTCTGTCTTTTCATTTTCCCCCATCCATCTATTCCTTTGTCTGATAGTTCTTGAAAATGTATATTTATATGATTTCAAATTTTGATATTTATGATCTACGCAAATACCTGATAAAAAGAAAGAATGCTTACAAAGCGAATTGAACCAAACCCATGCCTAATTTGACCGGTACTATAAGATTGATTAGATCTTGACTTTCCGTGCCTTACCAAAGTTAGAATTGTATATTTTCACTATATATATATGTTTGCATTTTTTTTATTGCAAGTGTTAACTTAGGAAAGCTTTATTTATTTTTATGTTTTAAAAGTATTTTTTTAAAATTAATTTTTTTTTATTTTTTACTTCAAATTAATAATTTTTTTGATATTTTAAAATCATCTTGGTGCTTTAATATGAAAAATAATTTTTTTAAAATAAAAAAAATATTATTTTAATATATTTATAAATAAAAAATATTTTAAAAAATAATCACAGTTATACTCGCAAACAAAACCATTCTCTAATTTATATATTTTAGAATACCAAGATATTATGCAATTGTTGGTTTATTTTGTGGGAAAAGAAAGATAAGATAATAATTTATGAAAGTAATCTCTTGCGTGTCCGTACTTATGAGTTAATTGTAATTAATAGATAATTATATAAGCATAAACAACGTGTAAGACAAGTTCAGTTCGCTAAATTTCAAAGCAACTTCACATGCAGTTGACCTAATAATGTGTTTTTCTTTTTTACAAGTTGATTTATTTAGAAAATATATTTTACAAGCTGGGTTTAATTTTGTTTGTAGCTACGTAGCCCTCTCACTGAATATAGTCTACGGTCCAATTTAAATGTTTTTCTTTATCGAAATATATATGTAATTATCCGAGGTACATTCTTGAGAAATAATCTTGTATAATAATAAAAAATTAATTATCTTAACCTTTAAGGTAGATTATCTAAAGCCATTGACGTTACCAGAATATATTTTTTCACCTACATTAATGTGCTTCAGTCGACGACAACTAATTAATGATGGATTAATGACCCTCGAGACAATGTTAAGCCGCTTTATCAATAATTAGCAAGCCTTTGATTAGGGACTATTGACCATCTTTAATTAATTAAAAATTGTCAAGCACAATGCTCTCTATTGGGAGATATTTTCGACTCTTTTGTGTGTGTTTTCTTTGAGAAAAAAGTGGGAAATCAAACGTATGCCAACATTTATAAATAAATCATAGTTTTAAAATCTGGTCCGACTCAGCGGGTTGACCCGGGACCTGTCCGACCCGGGGCTGGAACCGGACCGGGTTGATGAAAAAATAAGGTGAGCCATGACCCGGCGTGACTTGGCCGACCCAGCGGGTTGACCCGGAAACCCGGACGACCTAGAAAAACCCGGTTGCAACCCGTTGACTTTTGTTTTTGATTAGGGAATTTTTTTTAAAATAGAAATTGACCTGGCCGACCCGGTCAAAACTTGGAACCCGGGCCGGGTTTAAAAACTATGAAATAAATAAATAAACTTATTTTTAAGAGTAAGTTTCTAATTTTCTTGGTTCAATTAAGGAAAATAAATGAGGGGGTTTGCCAAAAAAAAAAAACAATTGACAGTCAACATGTATGTTACCTTAAAATTAATAGGACGAGGAGATGCTTGTGCCTTGTTTCGTTACTAAAATCTCAATTAAAGTGCATTAATTGATGATTAAGGGAATTTAATTATTTTGATGTTTAACGGTTATTAAATAAAACCATTTTTATTATATATACGTATACTTATTTATTCAACATTTATTTTCCCCATTTTATACCTTCAAGACAATATATTATATAT